TGCACCACTTTATTTCATTTTATTCATGTAATGACATTTAATATTCTGTAGTTTAAACATTTTTAAAACTATTTTTTAAATTATCTCAAATGATAATGATACTTTATACGATAAATGTTGTTATTGTCTCACTTCTAAAATTTAAAATTACTAAGAATGTTTTATAAAAACAGCCATCACATTATATTTTCGATGAAAATGATATTTTATTATATTAATTTTTATAAAATTAATTAAATTTAAGTTTGTAATGCTAATTCTAAAATTTATAACCGTTTAAAGTATAGCGAGCAATAAATGAATTTACGGTACATAATATGAATATTATAAAGAATAAGTATACTATAATTGCATTATTTTCATTTTAATTAAAATCATATTTTACTAATGGCTCTTGGTTTACTTAATCTTATTTTAGATAGTTAATTATTTTAAGATATATAAATAGTGGTGATATAAATATATAAATAGGGTAATAGTGGTGCATGGGGTGCATGGGGTGCATGGGGTGCATGGGGTGCATGGGGTGCATGGGGTGCATAGGGTGCATGCGGTGCAAGCGGTGCAAAGTCAGTACCTATAAATACAAAGGGAAAATATTTAATTTTAATTCTTAACAAAGTTTGTTATTAAAAATATCTATAATAAAATGAACGACAAAAATAATAATATTAAAATTGGTGATATATCTCAAATGAAATGGGAGAGAGGGTCAACACCTGATGATATTAAAGCAAAATGTTTTCAATTATGTGTCGATTATTTGGGAGGCGTTTGGAGTCATATATCCATCGATGACATCGAAGTAAAGCGATTGAGCGGTGGTCTCACGAATCAGTTATACTATTGTGCTCTCAATGAAGACCTGAGGAATAGTGATGAGACTGAACCACAAGAAGTGGCCATCAGATTGTATCAGGATAAACATTTCAATAATTGGGACAATGAGGGCAATGAGAGACTGACGGATGTTATTATAGCACTCATTATGTCTGAGAAGAATTTGGGACCAAAAATATACGGACTCTTCGAAAGCGGACAAATCATGGCTTACTATCAAGTATTTTAAAATTTATATTTATTTATCTAATTTAATAAATTTTACATTTTAAGCACAAATGCTTCCGAAGTGAAGAACAAAGTGATCCAAAACTCGTTCAAAAAGTAGCCCAAAAGTTGGCGAGAATTCACTCAACAGTTATACCCATAAAGAAGAAAACAAATTTTGTTTTCAACTTCTTTGACAACTTTTATGCAGAGGCCTACAAACTGTTTGATATAAAATCATTGATCGATGAATACAATTGTGAGACATTGAAAGCACACGATTTGAAGGAAGAGTTGGAATGGCTTAAGGAAACTATCATTAAAACTGATTCTCCGGTGACTTTTGCTCACATCGACTTCAGAGGATCTAATATTATGGTGACAGAGAGTAATGACATAATGTTGTGTGACTTTGAGTACTCATGCAATGAGTATCGGGGCTGGG